CCCCATCCCCACGTCTCGCCAAGGACACTCAAGCTTCACCACTTGAACTTTTCGGAAGTTACCGAGAGAGCAAGATCCCGCCCTACCGACGGGTACACAAGGTGAGAAAAGTTCAGCAGAACACGGATCATCGGTGGACCCCCTCCGTTAGTCGGTGTCTGGGCGCAGTTGGTAAGTTGGATCTGGCAATCTCGCAGATTTTGCTGATCCCGCTACACCACACTGATGGTAGATGGCTCGACGGTACAGCCGGAGTCCGGAGCGCCACCTCCAGGCACGCACCCAACGAGCAGCCTGCCGCCCGCCCTGCCATGCAAGCCGCCACAGCCCTTAAGGCTCCGCCCGCTGCTGCTGTCCCCCTTGCTCCTTCCATCCTTGCTCTCCTTTCTGGCCTTGCTGCCGTTCCTCTTTTCGTCGCCGCCGCCGTCGTCGCTCCTCACCACCTTTGTAACGGGGTGCGTAGCCCTAAGTGTACCCCTAGTTACATGAGGTGTGACACGTCATACTTCGAATTATTTGGTACAAGGTACCAAGGTCGTCCAAAGCCAACCACTGGCTGATGACATTGCTTTTCTATAGGTGACTTATAGTTTGTATTAAACCCAAGCTATATCTACCTCTAAATATACTCAGTTTACTTTCTACCTTAAATAGGTCACTTCGCTCCCTTTTCGATAAAAGGGGACCTGTGAACTGCCGTTCACTGAGAGTTTGTAAGCTCTCGGAAGCTAACTTCCTCTAGCGCAAGGTGCTGTGTGACCCCGTCACAACCTTCCTTTAGTTTGCATAAAAACGTTTAGTGTGTGGCCCACAACATCTAAATTTAGATTTTATATATTTGTTTTGAGGTTATTACCGTCCATTTGGTACAAGTCCTAAATTTTGAAATGAAGTTCTTAAAAGACTTGTGGGCGAAGATGTCGGATCAATTTGATGGCGTTGCAGCAGCTCCTGAGCCACAGGAGTCGCTAGCTGAATTGTTCGAGCAGATGCGAGTGCTGGACGCCATGCAACAAATGCGCGAGTGGGACTCGGCGAAGTTGCAGGCGGAGCTGTCGCTAGCGTTCTCATCTGTGCCTCATGCACCTTCGTTCTTCCTACAGTGTGTCGATCGCTACGGCCAGCTACCGGACAAGCAGGTAGCCCACATATCGCAGTGGGCCGAAACCGCTGTGGCTTGCATTAAGCTTTGTAAGGATCCACAGATCTCTCCGGCTGACAGTCTACTGGCTGGTTCCATGCTGCCGGCCTTCAAACGCTCGCGCATGCCCTTCGTGGCCGATTTCGCCCTCGCCTACCGCGTAGACGTGGAGACGCTCACATCCTTCTGCTCGCTACTTCTCAAGACCCGCGTGGGGCTGGCTGCGCACTTCATGGATTGTCTGAAAATGAAGTACCTCTTGCCGACCGACGTTGTTCTGGAGGCTGTCATGAAGCAAAAGGATTTCCGCACGGGTGACATGTTCGCCAAAAACCACAGAGAAACCCAGAAGAGATTCGTCCAGATGTTGATCGACGGTAATGTGCAGGATAAAGTGATCAAGAAGAGACTTTCATTGTTCAAGCTGAAGGCCAGCGCCTTTCCAGTCTACTTCGAACGGTACGGCGCTCAACGTGCTGGAGTCTTAACTAAATTGATACTTATTCAACAACGAGTTGTTTGCTTTTGTAAACAGTCGACAGAAGGCTACGCTAAGGTTCCTTGTCTACTCGAAAGAGTACGAACAGGCCCTGCAGTTCGTCGAGGGCTCCGAAGATCTGAAATTGTACGCGTGTAAAATGATCATCCGACATGCCGGCGCGGGAAATGCTGCCACTAAGCAGTTTATTTTTCAGGCGGGTCTTGCGTACTTATTTCCCGAAGTGGATACGAGTGCAGAAGACGGCAAGGCTTTTAAAAACCAAGCCGATCTGCCTCCACTTGACTCGTGTCTGTCAGTGGTTGATGCCATCGGTGAAGCCAATATTGTCTTTGTGGATACTCCAACGGCATTGCAGCAATGTGTAGGTCACCTTATCGAGCAGCCAGCTATTGGTTTTGACTCGGAGTGGAAAGCAGTGCATGAGGTAGCTTCTTCGGAAGGGACTGCTGCGAAGTGTGCACTTCTCCAACTAGCATCTCGTGAGAAGGCGTTTGTCGTGGATGTGGTGGCCTTGATTGAGCATGGAAATATTTTACTCCCGCTTTTTCAATCGGAATCCGTGATCAAGTTAGGCTTTGATACGAGAGGTGACGTGAAGGCTCTGCGTTCATTTTTAACCGGAAACTACACCGCTGAGAACGTAATGTCAATGCTGGTTGATCTGCAAGCTGTCACGCGAAAGCTTCCCACGCAGAAAGGAACTAAAGTCGAAGTTAAGGGTGGCGACGGTAGTAGCAGCAATGCCAACACTTTGGTGGCAAACAGCGAGGCAACAGGAACTGAGACTAGGTCCAGAAAATGGAAGCACACGCGTAGCAAGGCCAGTGAAAATGATGCCAGTGCAAACTCCTCGCGTTTGGGTTTGGCAGCGATTGCAGCAACTTATCTAGGTCTGCCTTTAGATAAGCGTGCGCGAATGTCAAACTGGGAACGGCGCCCACTTACGCAAGCTCAACTCCATTACGCCGCTCTCGATGCACACGTGCTTGTTCAAATCTACTACAAGATGCAAGAGCAACATCCAGTTGATGTCTTCGACGCGGTCTTGAAGCGATGTACACACATTTCTGTCAGGTAATGAATACAGTAACAATTCCTTAGAAACGACGTCATGAACTGGGCTAGATGTCTTTACCTGTGCAAAATTATTGTGAATCGGCGGAGAGATACAGTGTCCAATTCGGCCAGAGTTATGCTGGACGCACTAACGTTTCAGGAAGCCCACCAAGTTCCACTAGTGCGATTATTTCAACCAGAAGACAAAGATATCCCTCAATTTTCAGACTGTCTTCGAATAACGTAGTTAAATCCATCGGCCCCGATGCAGACATCGATAACAACTATCGGATGCGGACTGCCGCATGTATTCTCTATCAGCTCATGTAGCTCGCTAGGGCGTCTGCAAAATCGACTTGACCACAATTCTCCATACAGAAGAAATGCTGTTGGAGAGCCTCCGGTAGCGCCGTCACCTTCAGAAAAAAATCATTGAGCTTCTTTTGCAGCTCCTCCTTTTCCTGCAAGATCCGTTCGAGTAAAAATACATTAGCGACTGGTTGATATCACAACTAAACCCGAGAGCAATTATCTTACCTCGTTTGTCTTTCGCAGTTGATGCGTCAGTTCCTGCAGTTCACACTCAATTCGGAAGGTTTTCTCGCCCAACTCTAGCTGCAGCTCGGCAATTTTCTCGTTGAGTGCTTTCTCCTTCTCCTCTGCGGTTTTGATAGTCAACGCCAGCGTATCCACTAACTCGGTACGGTTATCCATCTCGCGCCGTAATACAACTTCCAGCTCTTCCACTTTTGCTGCAAGCACCCCCTTTTGATTTATTGCATCCTGCTGGGAGTGCTCTAGAACAATTGCTTTCTCTTGCAGCTTGGCATTTTGACGTTTTTGGTCGTTTAGCTCCTCTCGAAGCCTTATGGCTTCACTTCCATCGATTTTCACACGGGCAGCCTTCGCTTCATGCATCTTTTGCATCGTCTCCATTTCACGCGCCATTCCAGCGCGCAGCTGGGCTTCTTCTTGCTTAAAGTGCTCTACAAGAGCCTCCTTCTTATCTGCAAATTCTTTCTGAAGGTGAAGCCGCAGCTCTTCCAAGCGAGACTCACTAAGCTGTTGAGTCACCACATTTTCAAGTTGACGGAAAGCTTGAATTGCCTCGTGCTGGTAAAAGTCGCGAAGTACCCGAGCCTTCTCGGGACCAAGCGCTTTCTCGTTATACTGCTTGTCAAATTCTTGGATTGCATCCAACAATGCAGTAAATGTTCCACCGCCACGTATATATGTGGCACGTGCATAGAGTTCTGTCCACAAATTTTGTCGTAGCTCCTCGCAGTACACGTGTGACTTTTGCGTGAGAGTACTCAACTCAGTCGCGTAGTGAGCGCGGATATCTGCTTTGAGTTTCGTGCGAACAGTGCGATGCCTTGACGACTTGTACTTACTCGCTGAATGGTAGACGTCCATGCTGAGACGCCAAATCTCTTCGTGCAGTTGCTTGAATGCATCCAGCTCCATGGGTGGATGCTCTAACACAGCTGGATGCACACAGTCTACATACGTGTTCAACGCGTCCTCAGCCAGTACTCGACACTTGTCCCCCGCAAAGTCGTCCCAAGCCGTTCCAAAGTCCAGCGGGTTTTGTTCTATCACCTGAATTGACAGATTGCGCAGAAGCGAGCTCAGCATCTCGCCCGTCATCTCCAGCCCAAATAACAATTTGACTGTCGCGTGTGTCCCACAGAAGTCGTCAAAACTCATCTCTGCAATACTGCCAGGGTAGAATATCCCCATTTTCTTGAATCTAAGGAGACTCTCGAGTGCTTCAGCGCTATTTGCTTTCCCCTCCGTCTCAGCGTCTGCCAGCTTGTCTACTAGCGAGCGACTTGGAGACCAGTCGATGTTCAGCATCTTGGGCAGCATTTCGAACACTTCCATTGTTACAAACTCTCTCATTAGCGTCCGAAACAATGACTGGAACTGCGGCAACGACGGCATGAGGCAGTGCGTGGACCCGATCTCGTCGTAGGACGAAATCACTAGCGACGAGAGCGCGCAGAAAGCGCCGACGAGCTGATCAAGACCTGAGGATGAACCGTCCTCCGTCGTATTAACATCCATCACCAACACATGTAAATCCCCTTCTAGATACTTGACACTGGCCAGCAACAACAGAGACTCATTACTCGCAGAGAGAGCTGCTTCCTCCTCTCCCAGAACTTTAGCCATCAGTTCGCCCCTCGCTGCTCGGGTCGACGGTGGACCTAGAAGAATGACGACGGCTAAACGTTCCTCATTCAACTCCTGCTCCAGTACCAGTGCGCCGCCGGGTGTCAGCGAGCCGGACGCGTCCGCCAACGGTACATTGCGCCATGTGGTGGTACGTGTTGCATCCATTTTGTCAATTGACAAGTCTTTCTCCACTAAGGTACATGTACGTTTACCTGCTTCAGCTTACCAATCGCTCCGCTCTAACCTTCGGGAAAATATCATTTATACCCACAGAAAGGACAACAACAATGGCAGTACTGCACCCCGTTTTCGCGGGGGTGGACCTTATAGGATTTAAAAATAAATCAGATTTTAGCATGGTTTATTTGGACTAAAGATCATCACATTCGGAAGTTTATCAAAGGTCCAAGGGCGCGAAAACGGGGTGCAATACTGTACATGTAACGTGAAGCTAATATTGTGAAAATCGCTCCGCTTCTAACCTTCTAGCCTGTCGGCTGTCCGTCCGTCTGTCCGTCGCATTCCCCCGCATTCCCTCCGCACAGGATTGTTCTGAAGGTTGGAACACCTATCATCATGATTAGAAACCTGAATAGCGACGCATGACTTTGCAACGGAACGCGGCTTCGGGTTGTGTCACTGCGCGCGAGAAGCATCGAGGCCAGCATTATGTCCGGGCCGTTCAAGGGTAAGAAGGTGTTCATTCCTCGGATCGTCTTTTACAGTGAGGACGATGACCAGGAGTTCCCGTTCAAACTCAAGCGTAAGCAGTTCCCCGTGGTTCCAGCGTTTGCCATGACTATCAACAAGGCCCAAGGACAATCGATTCACCACGTGGGTATCTACTTGGAATCACCGGTCTTCGCACATGGGCAGCTTTATGTGGCGTTGTCGAGAGTGACTTCAAGGAAGGCGATCAAGATTGCTGTGGATCCAGAGGCCATCGATGAGGACGGGAACGTACACACCAACAATATTGTGTACAGGGAGATCTTTGGAACGCGGACTTGGTAGGTCACGTAATGCATTTAATACATTTAGCTTAGATTTCGAAATGTTCTTTAATCCGCCGCAGCGCAGCGGAGGCGGTCAGCCCACACTACACCAACCAACCATGCCCTAGCGTCCGCGGAGCGGACGCCCAGACCGCTAGTCTCCCCACTTCTAACCTTCTAGCCTGTCGGTCTGTCCGTCCGTCTGTCCGTCGCATTCCCCGTCTTGCTGCTTTTTCCTGCCTTTTCGCATGGCTACACCCGGCCTGTCTAATACAGTTTTCTCCCATCGTACCACCCGCGCCTATCTTTCTGACTTGACTTAACTATGCCTAAATTACAATTATGGCAAAAACGCGGACACAATTAACTCGCGCCCTGATTGGGCAGTATTATCCGACTCATTTTTTATTCAAAACACAAAATTGGATTTTGAGCGACGGCGCGAAGAGGACAAGGTGCGCTGGCTGTATAATAGCAGTAGGGTAGTTTTAGATGTATATGCATGTATGTACGGGCGTGGGGCTCCTTGTACTACTATATATTCAAGAGAGATCTCTCAGGATACAGTCTGAGGCTTGCCCGAGACTCCAAAGTGGTATGGCAGTTGGTAGCGATAGCAATCAGGTTGGGGTGGGTGTGACTGGGAACGTCTACCACCATGCACGCGCCTAGGGGTCCTAAACCCACCGCGAGTGTCCACGCTCCAAAAGCGAGTGGTGCGTGCTGCCAATTGGCCAAACCGAAGTTGCAGCCACGTGCGGAAGAGTCGTTACAGCCCCGCAATACATAGGTGCTCTTAAAGTGTGAGCTCCCACATCAAAACACACTTTGCGAGAGCACTTCTGGCGGGACGGAAAGGAATGCAGCAGTCGGTCTCACAAGAGCAAGGAGCCCAAGACCAAGTGCAAGGACAGCTCAAGAACAAGAGATCAAGACAAAAAAAACACTTTAAGAGCACGAGTGAGCCCCGCGCCTGTACACTTAAATAGCATAGCATCAGAATAGACAGTTTTAGAGCATTTTCGGAACTGTGTGAGCCCCGTGAGGGGCTGGGTCGTTCTCGGACACCCTGCGCATACTACTGACATGACCTGAAGGGCTGGACGGTATCGAACAGACCTGGGCAACCACTCAACAGGGATGAGGCAACAGCTTTGACGTACCCAAGAGGCAACAACGCGATGCGGCGTCTGAATTACCATGTACAGCTGCTTGGTCCACAGCGGTGCAAGGTAATTTGGACCCGCGGAACGTGAGCTGAGGGCTGTAACACGTCGGCCAAGGGAAGGGCCTAAGCAAAAGCTGACTGGACCAGCAAGCCGCCTGGAGTGACGATACCCCTAAGTTGTTTGGAATCCGAGGAGCCGGGATGGAAATGACAGTGATGTGTTCTATTCACAGAGGGCTTCTGGATTAGTACTGGAAAGGAAAGTTCGGGGTTCTATTCGAATACCACGTTGCTTAAGCTACCGTGTCCATGTTCTGGTGCTTATATTATAAAATAGCTGTAGAATAGCTCCCAGTGCACTTAAACTTTCGAGTCTAACCGCCCATGTAATTATTTTCCATTTTAATCAGGCGACAGACGCTTTCAAGATAGAAGGACATGGCAAGAGCCCAGAGGAAAAGAAAAAGGTTCCCAACTACTGTGTAGCGGGCTTTGGCGCAGAATTAACTCGACTAACTGTGTCTAATTATTAGAATTACCCGCGAGGATTTAGATGAGCGCGTACAAACGAGCACGGCAGGAGAATGCTTCGCCCACGCAACTGGAACCGAGGAAAGATAGGCAGCTCCGTAAGCAAAGCTTCGTAAAGCAGAGGCACGCTATCGCAAGGCAATCCAGAAGTTGGAGCAGCTCGACTTGGCTGAGAGCTCACGCCGCATCTGAATCAGGACTGATAAGAGTATCCAGTTCAGCTGTAGAGAGCTCGAAGAGAAGCGATGCCGAAAGAACAAAGGGATCAGCGAAAAGAGCAAGAGCGGTTTCGCCGGCGGTCTCGGCAGTATAAGAAGGGCCTCGCACACCACGAAAGTTTTGACCCTTCCACAGTTTCCGGGGGTCGTCACTACTTTACGCGTTACATGGATGACAACCGAGAGAAGGAGCGGGTTTGTCACTACTGTAACGCTTGGAAGTTTCCCAAAGAGACAGACGGATGCTGCTGTCGTAACGGACTGGTGTTTGTTCCATCTTCGCGAACAGCACCTAATGCTCTACTATCACTTTTCGAAAACCCGACCTTCATGCGGTCAATCCGAGCCTACAACAACGTATTCGCATTTACGTCCATGGGAGCTTCGCGGTCTCGGCCTCTCAACGTCGACGAAAGCGTGACACGGAATGGTGTCTACAACTTCCGGGTACAAGGGTCAGTGTGTCATCGCATGGGGTCGTTACTACCTCCTACCTTCGGTCGCTCCATGTATGCCCAAGTTTACTTTAACGATCCAGATATGGATGCACGTGTGCGAAGCCGTATGAACATGACGCAAGGCCTCGATCGTGCCGCCATGGAAACAATTGACCAGATGATGGTGGCGCACAACCCGTATACACAAGAATTTATCAACGTGCG